TACATCACTTCTCTTTCTCCAATTTTTGCCTAATGTGGCTACTATCAGATTTTTCAGTTGTTTACTTTTAAATATGTCTAATGTTCTATTTTTCAGACCACTGAACCCACATTACATTCATGAAGCTAGTATAATGCTGCAGACATCCTAGCTATCCAGGCAATGTTATAAGGACATTAGCATTGTTCATTTGTGTGATCTCTATGTATCTTGTAATCTTTCCAGAGTAAGACTGCCAAGGTCTTGGACTCTTCATTTGGTGGAGTCTAATTCTGTTCTCTTTACAAAGAGCTAGGGTTACACTCAGCAAAGGTTACCATTTACGTGAGCCATGAAGCCTGCTAGCATAACTCATCACGAAAGTAAAATCCCTAGCTATTTTTTCTCTCAAGGACATCCCGAGCACTACCTAAAATCAAGAAGGAACACTTCAGGACAGGTCATATGTAGGGCTCACACATACTGAGAATCCACAGTTTCACTCTGATATATTGGAGTGTGGAAATATCTCACAGCAGTCATGTTAAGGGTTATTGTTGTTTTATTTTTTCCTTTGAAAACCTCCTTTTCTACCCCCTAAAGAAAAATACATGAGAAATGAATGTAAAGACCAGAGTAGCTTCAGCATGAGATGTCAATATTTTAAAAAGAACTTTTTCTTAGAAATTCTTCCTTTTCTTGAAGTGGGGAAGAAGTAGTGGTTCTCACACTCAGTTTTGTTTTACCACTGAACCAATGTGAGTTCTGAAAGGTTTGCTTTCATAAATAAATAACCTCTTAAACTAAGTAATTTCTAAAGCTCAGCTCATCTTTCAAACCTCAGGGTGCTAGAGCAGCCTAAGCACCAATCATTTTTGCTTTTAGGTCCAATGTTCATCTTTCTTTCTCTTATCCTCTGATGGAATTTCATCTGCTCTGGTAATTGCAGAAATCAGAGATTTTTAAAGCACAGACTCTGAGAATTTAAAAATATTTAAAAAGAACTAACAGACCTAGAAGAAATCTTAGGTAACATCTCCCCTCTCACTTCTTATTAGTTAAGGGATAACTGAGACCCTAAAGGGTCTTCCCCAAGGTCGTATAACGAATTGACAACCATAGAATAGAAATCAAGATTTTCTCAATCTTGAATTAGTGTGCTCTCTCCCAAACTACATGGCCTGTCTATGTTTTTATCCTTTTCTTTATGATCTTTAGACCCAAATTGTTTAATTCAAGCTAACCAGTGGCATATACAAAGTAAGATGCAGGGTACTTCTTGGTTCCATTAGTTATCACTGTCTCTTTTCATTGGCTGGAAGATCAGGGACAGGACAGAGGAAGTCCTGCCAGGCCTCCTCGCTCCATGGATTAAGTGACAGCATGGGCTGTCTAGTGCCTTGCCCAGAAAGTTTGATTGTTCTGACTTACAACAGGAGGATCTGGAATTTAGGAGGCCCAGTATTACCTTTCCCTTATTAGGACTGGATCTTCTCTTTTTTGTTCTCATTAGCCTCGGGACATCAGACAGTTTTAAGATGGGCAAAAACCTAAATCTCATCCCCCACCAAAACTGTTCTGCTGATATTTTCCAGCTTCTCCTTTGAGACAGCCAAGAGGCTTAGAGGAAACTCTAGCCTCTTGAACCAACTGACCTTATATTTATTTATAAGGTATGTTTCTTCTAAGAAGTTCCAAAAGTTTCATGCACACTCTCTCACTTGATCCTTCTTTTCCCATGAGGGGAAGGATTTCATTTTTATCTTGCTACCACAGCTAGAATGTCCCTGATGTATACAGGGTTTCTCTCCAGGGTCTAACACTCCAAGGTTAGAATCTCTAGAAGCCACAGAAACATTCTCAACTGAAGTCTCAGCCAACTCCACTATACTAGGCACTAGGGATGCAAGAGTGAACAAAAGAGACTAAGTCTCTGAGCTCATGGAGCTTACATACAAAGTAAAAGGACTATTTCATTACCCACTGAATTCAGAACCATAAATGCAATGTATCCTGATAAAAGAAAAGAATCACTACAGTCACAACTACTCAGACTAATATCCACAGTTTTACATTTATCTGGTAATACAGAATCCATTGGATTCAGAATCCATTGGATTGCACTAGAAGACTAGAGATTTGCATTCTAATCCTGACTTTTTTTTAAGATTTTATTTATTTATTTGACAGAGAGAGACACAGCAAGAGACAGAACACAAGCAGGGGGAGTGAGAGAGGGAGAAACAGGATTCCTGCAGAGCAGGGAGCCTGATGCAGGGCTTGATCCCAGGACCCTGGGATCATGACCTGAGCCGAAGGCAGATGCTTACTGACTAAGCCACCCACGCACCCTCTAATCCTGACTCTTATACCAAGGGACTGCATGACTTTGACCAAATAACATAATCCTAGGTTTGTTCTTTGAAGATGTTAGACAAGATTTCCCAAGTCTTTTCTTGGTCTTCAATGATGGGTGATTGGTTAACTTCACCTAAGTTGGTTGGTGTGGTATGAGGTCTTCCTGCCAACATCAAAAGAGGAATCTATTTCCATTGCTTTTATTTGTCGGATGGGGTTGAAGGAAACAGCACAAAACAACACACATCTCCTAAGACTATTAATAGCATCTCTCTATGCATTAATCTATGAAATCAATCATCTCCACACCCACCATGTGTTTAACACTAGGGTAGACACTTTGAGGATGAGACACATCTGAAAAGATCCTTAAGGGGCTTCCAAATGAAAGCACGCAGCAATAAATAATTAAAACAAAAGGCTAAGAAAGAGGTTTTAAGTTTGCAAGAGAAAAAAGTCAAAGAGAACTAAATTAGAAATCTCTGAGACGGGGTGTCTGGGTGACTCAGTCGGGTAAGTATCTGCCTTCTGCTGAGATCACAATCTCAGGGTCATGGGATCAAGCCCCACATCAGGGTCCCTGCTCAGAGGGGGATCTGCTTCTCCCTCTCTCTCTGCATCTCCCCCTGCTTGTACTCTCTCTCCCTCCCTCTTTCTCTGAAATAAATAAAGCCTTTAAAAAAAGAAAAGAAAAGAAAAACCTCTTAGGAAAGGTGGAAATTCACCTGGATCTATCACCACAATCGCAATAATAACAGCAGTTAACATTTGCTGAGTGCTTGATACATGACTTGTGTCTACATTAAGTGCTTCTGCAGGCTCTCTCACATAATCCTCAAAATAACCTTAGAAATAAATACTGGGGTGCCTGGGTGGCTCAGTGGGTTGAAGCCTCTGCCTTTGGCTCAGGTCATGATCCCAGGGTCCTGGGATTAAGCCCCAAATCGGGCTCTCTGCTCAGCGGGGAGTCTGCTTCCCCTTCTCTCTCTGCCTGCCTCTCTGCCCACTTGTGATCTCTCTCTCTGTTAAATAAATAAATAAAATCTTTAAAAAAAAAACAACTACCCTTTAAAAAAAGGGTTGGGGCAGTTCTAGCTCACAGATATTTTTAATCTTACAAATTATAAAATACTATATATATAGACATGAGTAAATGTAATGTATTTGGGCACTTTCTTTTTTCAAAGATTTATTTATTTGACAGCAAGTATGTGTGTGTGCACACGCAAACACATGCAGGGGGAGGGGCACAGGGAGAGAATCTTCAAGCAGACACCCTGCTGAGTGTGGAGCCAGACATGGGGCTCAATCTCATAACCCATGAGATCACGACCTGAGTATCTGGACACTTTAAATAAACAAAATGTACATTCTTCAGCCACTGTCTGCCTTAAGAAACGAAGCATGAAATAGTATTAACAATTTTACATGGTTGAAATTTTAGCCTAAACCAAAATGGTTATAAAACTTCAAGATAAGGAAGTTTTTAAAGACTGAAAAAGCCACTAAGAATTATGAGATTATATACTAAAAGATTAGATAAATCTAATCCAAAGGGATGGTATCAAACTGTATGTAAAAGATTTTTTTAAGTAGGAAATGTTTTTCATTAAAGCATTGTGGTATAATGTGACCATAGGGACTAGGTTTTCTGGAATAGTTACAATTTCAAATACTCTATTTCCATAAGCCAATGGCTTTCTGAAAATTGTAGTATTTTGTTATTGAGGCTAGTCTATATCTTCCAATCTATCTCTTCCACCTGGAAATAACATAAAAGTTCTTCACAGGATCATGTGATCTAAATGTGGTATGGGTAAATAAATAATCATAGATAGAGTGGGGAAAAAATATCAGGTTACAAATTTAGGAGATCCTAACTCCAAACTCTGTTGAATTCCTGGCTAGATAATGAGCAATAGACTTTCAAATACCTAACATAGAGGAAATATAACCAATATTAGGATTTGTAGTATCTGAGAGGAAAAACTAAAGTAGTAGCACAGAAGCCCGAATTATTCTTTTTTTTTCCTTAAGTTTTATTTACTTATTTATTCAAGAGAGTGTGTGTGTGCATGGAGGGGCATAGGGGAAGTGAGAGGGAGAGAACCTCAAACAGACTCCACACTGAGCATGGAGCCCAAAGTGGAGCTTGATCTTATAACCCTGAGATCATGACCTGAGCAGAAGCCAAGAGTCAGACACTCAACTGACTGAGCCACCCCAGGCAACCCCTGATTATTCATGATACTAAGCACTGAGATAGACTTCTCTACTAAGTACTCATAGAAATAATATGAACATTGACAACATCCTTCAACAAAGCAATGTGTCAAGAGATTTCGTATTGTAACAAATATTCTGAAGACTTCCAATCAAAACACAAATTCACAAGACAGCAGTATCTGCCCTATAAAATGTTGTTTTTGGGAAATGACTCAATAGCTCTTCTGGGTGCAACCACTATACCTCTGTAAACATCTGGATTTTTTAAACTGAGAATATTAAAGTAGTTCCAAACTTAGTCAAGAATTCAGATTTCTGGATTGACCTGTTGCCCATAACTAATTTGCTGGTCCTACTGTGCATACAACACAGGTGAACTAAATTTTATTAAATGCCAGTGAGATCTGATAGAATTTCTTTTTTCTCTTTCTTACAAGAGAAGAGGGAAGAAAACATTTCTCTCTGTGATTGTGCTTGGAATATGCTACAGAAATGTCAGAGTAAGTACAGAATGTGTGTGTTAATGAGCTTTTGCTGCCATATGAATATAGGGGAAATTCTACTTTAAAAAAAATACAGCAAAAAAAAAAAAAAAACTAAAATTTTCCAAACTTTAAAGTGATTATTTGCTTTATAAATTATTTCTTCTCTGTAAGTGTTTAGTAACAGCTCACTGATTATTAGACTAAGACAAAGGAAATTTAAAGCAAAACTATTATGAGCCATAATCCATTAACTGATCAAAAAGGGAAAAAACTGAATTATACAAATTAAAAAAAATTAAGGATTTTGAGTAAAAATGTGACACATGCCAAATGAATACAGTGAGGCATTTCTATCAAAGCCACCTCTAATCTTTCTTTCACTGTACTGTGTTTTGTTTTGTTTCTGTAACAGGATAAAAAAGAAAACCACTAGAGTTTCTCTGACCATCAGTTCCCTGGTTAACGAAACCTCCAATATCAAATCAAGTTATTCTACCTTAGTTCAACCATTGTGTATTGACCCCCAAAGGGTATGTTCAGTTTTAAAAGCCTTCTTAGGGGGTTGCCTGGGTGGCTCAGTGGGTTAAAGCCTCTGCCTTCAGCTCAGGTCATGGTCCCAGTGTCCTGGGATCGAGCCCTGCATCGGGCTCCCTGCCTGGCAGGGGCCTGCTTCCTCTTCTTTCTCTCTGCCTACTTGTGATCTCTGTCTGTCAAATAGATGAATAAAATCTTTTAAATAAATAAAAGCCTTCTTAGGGGTTCCAGTAGTGGAGACACAGGCCCAGAGAAGAAGGAATCAATGCAACTTTCTTGAAAAGTATACATGAGGAGAGCCTCCAACTGTATAACCTCAAATAGAACAAGAAAAGAAATCCATGGGTCTCAGAAATAACTCTATGGTAGTTCTGTGGATTGGCCATTTGTCTATGTGCCAAACCATAAGAGACAGTTGGTTTCTAGGAGTTCGGTCCCATAACAGAGTATTCCAACAATCCATGGAATGAATTCCCTTTTAATTAAAAAGGGGGGTGGGGTGGGGAGATGCTTTTAGAAAAACCTAACAGACAAGATAAGAGCAACTGTACAGAGAAGGGAAAAAAATCTAGTCAGTAAAATTTACAACTTATTTATGCCTTTTACATACATTCTCTAAATAAGTGCCAAAGTTCATCTCTTAAACGTTATTACTCGGTGTTATATTTCACCATCTCAGCTGATGGAATGCTGGAGGATAGAGGAAAAAAACGGGTGGCAATGGAACAGATACCCAAAATGATGTTTAAATTAGATGCATTATCCTTTTCAAAGAGAACACTTGGGGTGTGGTTGGCAGCAGCCAAAACGGATTCAGTTGGTTCATGGGCACCATGCTTCTAGGTCTCAGGGCCTTGGCAGTATGGATGAGTGTCTCTTCTAGTTCTTTTTTTTTTTTTTTTTTTTTTTTAAGATTTTATTTGAGTGAGAGAGAGAACATGAGTCAGGGGGAGGGGCAGAGGGAAAAGCAGAATTCCCGGATGCAGGGCTCAATCCCAGGAACCCAGGATCAGGACCCTGAGATCCTGACCCAAGCCAAAGGCAGACACTCGACCAACTGAGGCACCCAGGTGCCCCTCTCTCTTCTATTTCTTAAATCAGATGCAGAGTCCCTGCAGCAGCCTGTCCGGATCTACCTGTGTTGCCGCCCCTGTGTTCACCAAGGTAACCTATCCCTACTGCATGGTAGAGTTAGGAATTTATAGGTAAATTATGGGTGTCATCAAAGGGGTGAGAAGGAAAAGAGGAAACTAAAAAGAACCTCAGAAATTATTATTTTATTCCTTCCCTGAGATAAGTAGCCCTGGGCATCAGGCCGCAAAGGCTGGGCTGATGGTCACTACGTCTCACCTGATAGAAGGACCTCAGATACTCCCTCTCAGCCAAGTTATAACCTAAAATGTAATTCCAGATTCTAGAGGACTCTAGCTGAAAATGGGAGAGAAGGAAAATTGGGGTTTAGTGGGGATAGTTACCACAAATGCCACCCATTCATCAATGCACTGTGAGACCAAACCACCTATTTTTATACTTTTTATGTAACATTCTAACTCTTCACTTTTTAAAGAAAGTTTTCAGATTATTTATCTGAAATGAGCCTCAAACCCTCAAAAAAGGCTGAATATTTGCTAGCCCTATTTCACAGATAAAGCACCTGAGTTCCACAGAGGTTAAGAGTTTCCAAGCTCCTACGATCAACTTCAATCAGTTAGTGGCAGAGTTGAGATTCTGGTCCAAGTCTTCTAAGTTCTGATTCAGAATCCTTAACAAATAATGCTGCCCATACTACTGACTGACAATAAAGATTAAATCTGTGACTCTACATGTACTTAATGAAATCCTATAACAAAGATAAGAGTTTTCAACTACTCTGGTTCCTATTTTGAACCTGGCTCTTGGTGACGTGAGCAACAACTTTCTCTATTAAATTAAGATAAAAATAACTTACACATGACTGTAAAGCACACTACAAAGCACAAAAGAATCCCAGCAACTCCTTGTTTTGACTACAGTACGGTCAGTTGTCAGTAATTATAGGGAAAAGCATACTTACTACCATTGGCATCCCAAATCATTGCATATGATGAAAGTTTCTTCCATTCTGTGAATTCTGTTTTTGTTCAGCATCTTCAAGACATTTCGACAACCAGCGGTCAGTTTGTTGCATTTGAATGCCGAGTCCAGGCAACAACCACAGTTCAAATTCACTGGTACAGAGAAAAAGAGCAGATAGCAGACTCTGAGGACTTCCAGATTCTGAGGAGAAGTATTGTGATAAGCTTTTCGATTTGCTTTTTATTTCAATTAACCTTGGAAATCTAATTCATGTTTCAAAGTTTAATAGCTGACTTGTTACAGGCTCAGAAATTTCTACTGTTAAACAATTTTGAGTTCAGATCCAAATGATTCCTCGACACAAACAAAAAAGAAAAGATAGCTGTTTTTCTCTGATGAAACAATAGTTTTAATAGCTGTGAAAAGATTGGTTTGTTTTCATGAATTATCTTACTAATGAGTTCTTGGCATACAAACAATAAAAAAAATGTGAGAATAAACTTTTTTTTTAAGACTAAAACAAATTAATAATGATACACAGCTTTCTAAATACTTTATTATTTGTTTCCTACCAAATAATAAACTCAGGGAAGTATAACAAGTATGATGATCTACTTCACACTCATCACTGAGTTTATAAGCAACCTTTCATTTAATCCTCACATCAATTGTTTTGAAGTGTGCATTGTTAATTCCACTTTATAAGAAAACTGAAATCAGAAATACTAAATGCCTTGCCCAAGGTTACAAAGCTAATAAATGCTGCAGGCAGGGTCCAAACCCAAAATAGTTCTTGCTCCAAGCAAAAAAAAAATAGATTCATTTAAACACCAATGCAGCACAAATGAACCTTTGCACATCACATCCAGGAAGAAAAACCTTTATTACACAGTGTGGCGTTAGCATAGAGAAGAAATTTTAAATCATCTATAGCCACACCACCCAAACTATTACCCTGTTGTGTGTTTTTCTACACTAATACTATAGTATGTTTATAATGTAATATTCAACTTTATTTTAATTAGAGAGACTTAAAGAAAAAGATTTTCTTGGGAGGAAGAGAGCACCGCAGGACCTGGGGTTCGGTAATGGTTCCCATTCAGAGAACAGATACTTTCTTCATGTTAGAGATGAAGAAATAAAGCCCAGAGAAAAGTTTTCACAAAACCACAGGGCAATTCAGGGCTAACCAGGACAAAATACAGTTCTTCTAGCACCCTGCCAAGTGTTTATTCCATCATGTATCTTTTCCCAGTTTGTACAGAGTTTATAGTCTGTGACTCCACATTACAGTCAAGGTTGTATGTGCTTTATTTATTCAGGTTATTTATCATATACACATGGCCCCTCCTCCCCACTAAATTAACCATCATCTTTTCAATTCTCTTTCTATTTCCTTATTTATCTTTCAGAGGCTTCTTTATCATCCATTCCTGGTAAGCACAATTTTTCAACATCTCTTCTTTTTCCTTTTCTTTTTTTTTTTTAAGATTTTATTTACTTATTTGAGAGAGAGAGAGAGCTCAAGCAGGGTCGGGGAAAGGGAGAAGCAGACTCCCCAGTGAGCAGGGAGCCTGAAGCAGGGCTCGATCCCAGGACCCTGAGACCATGACCTGCAACAAAGGCAGTTGCATAATTGACTGAGTCACCCAGGCGCCCCCAATTTTTCAATATCTTGACAATAAATGATTAAATCAAGATTACCATCAGAAGACTTTGCCTCCTAAATCACTTTTGCCATTATGAGCAGTTCTGAGGCTACCCTATAACAACTCTTGAGCTGACAGAACCAAAGCAGAAAGGTAACTGGGATTTGTCAGTGTATTTATTCACCTATTCACTCACTCATCATAGTACAGACAATAGTCACGTTCCATTCTGGACACTGAGGCCATCCCTGCGCTCAAAGAGCACGCATCCATCCTCTTGTCTGTGACTTGTGAGCTCTACAGTGAGGCAGTAAGGAGGTGTGATGACATCAAACATCCAAGTTGTTGACCGTCCAAGAAGTAGGCACATTGCCTATCACAATGTGGCTGTCACCGCACTATCGAACTATCCTGGTAATGATAACTTTTAGGTCAGCTCAGAAATCATTACAGGGCCTTGATGCTAAGCACTAAAGCTACAGAAATCTAGAAGTCAAGGAATAAAGTGTAACCCTTGCTTTCAAGGAACTCACAGTAAAGAGATGTGTCACAGAGACAGGTGGTAGGGACTCTGTTGGGATTATTTTAGGCTGCATTTTTTACTTATCTTCAGAAGCCCACTTAAAGGCAAAAAGTCTAACCAGATGGATTTTTTAAAAATCCCAGAAATACTCTTTTTATTCATAGTATCTACTTTCCCTGACATCCACCCACACTAGTTGTTAATTTGGGGTCTCCCAAAACTCTGATCAAGTTGAATCTCTTGCCTTTCCAGAGGAAGTCTGCACCTTGAATATCACAGAAGCATTTCCTGAAGACTCTGGGGAATTCAAGTGCATTGCAGAAAATGAAGCTGGGACTGCAGTTTCCACAGCAAGACTCTTTGTTTCCCCAGGTAATTCTTTTCAGGATCTCCCTGCTCCAATTCAGCCAAGAGGAGGAGGAAGATTCTGTTTCTTTCTGAGGTGGTAAATAATTATATTTTTCAGGAGGAAAAGAAGTAGAGAAATCAGAGAGTTCTTCAAAGTCACCCATGAGTAAACTTGCTCCAAAACTGGCCTCTTTTCCCTGGATCAGTGATAGCCACACAAAGGACAAAAAAACAGATGATACTCCAATGAACATTATTTCAACTATTCCTGAACCAGACCGTCACAGTGAACATAAGATCCAGGTTCCAAAGGAGGATTTCTCCAGTGAAAATTCCTCTGAGCTACAACCACAATGGTAAGGGCAGACAGACTTAACACTTGACCATTCAACAAATATTCTTGGTTGGTCCTGCATACAGAACAGTGAACATGACAAAGTTCCTGCCCTTAGGGAGCTTGCGTTATTAGGTGAGTCACTTAATTCTGTCATTTCTCCCTTGCCCTCCATCATATCTTTGACCAGAGCTGAAACAGTAAACCAAGTGCTTAGATCTACATCTAAAGGTTTGTTACAGAGACTTCTTGAAAAAAAAAAAAAAAAAACAAACAAACAAACAAACAATCAACAAGGTTGAAACGGCACAAGATTTTGAAGAAGTAGAATCTGTTCCACAAAAGAATTCAGGGTTTTATCTCAATATAAGTACAAAAAAAATTTTTGTGATACAGGTTTCTTCTCGTCTTAGAATACAGACAGAATTACCCTTGCTTTTAGAAGGCAAGTGTATAAATAAAAAAGATAACTGATTAGGTGATTTTGCCAACCAGGCTATATTCAAAACAAAATCCACCATCATCCCCAACCCCCAAACATGAACCTCAAACCAAAATAGTGACTGGAAAAACAACAACAACAACAACTAAAAACTGATACTTAAAAGTCATTTGAAATTTTTTGTTTTACTAGCATCTAAGAAGAGTCCACTAAATATTTTACCAACCTAAAGTTACCTTTACGTTAAATTTAGGTTAAACGCCTTTAATAAAACTAATAAATGAACATTCTTGACTATTTTCTAGTATAACTAAATGTAGCCTCTGTTAATTACAAAATAAATGATATGGAAATCTCTTTTAAGAAGAGATTTCTTGAGTAGTTATTTGGGCCTATCAAGTGAATAAACTTATTGTATTCAAGATGGAAGGAATCAAAGGTCACCTACATGAAGTTCCACATTCTGCAAATGACTGAAATTGTAGATGATTGACTGATATTGTTGAGAGCTGCTTCCTCGTGCTTCTATGACCCTGGGATAGGTATTTCTCCGAGTGTTTCCTACAATGAAGACAGTAAAGGAAAGAGTTTGAACTTGGATATTAAAAGACCTGGAATAACATATGTCAAGTACATAGTAGGAATTCATAATAGTGGCTATTACTTCACTGCACTGGGGTGTTTTTTTAGGATCAATGTATCTTTAATAACAGTCGATGACTATAATTTCTCAGTTGGTCTCCTTTAGCTTCTGGGATCTTTAGCTACCTGGATATAGCTACCCTTAGAAGGATTTCTCATGAGGTCAAAGAAGGGGTTTGTGGGACAAAAGACTGCAATTTATTCAACAAACATTTATTAAGCACATTCTATGTGTTTCTGTCAGCTTCTGTGGGAGACTTCCCTTCAGAAGACAGCCAATACAGATATTTAAAACTTTTCTCCATGAATACCCTATGTTTAGCAGTGAGACTTTAAGACTTAAGAAGGCACTGAATCAAAAAAGGGGGGGGCATTGAATCTATAATACAATATCTCTCATAGGAGATTACCATCTTTTTCATTTAAAAAAAATCACCTTTTAGAAAAATTATTCAATGAAAGTTCCATAAAAGTTAACAAGTTTGTAATGAATGTCAACTATGAGCCACAGTGTCCCAGGGAAAGATAAAAAATAAACAGTCCCTCCCTCCCTCAGAGTACATTTAACTTCGTTGAGGAGATACCTTATACCATGTAAGAGTACATTACATGATTTCCTGTTTCATTTGAGTCTCTCTGCAAGCCTCTGTCTGATTAGGTTAGTAAAACAGATACTATCTTTGTTTTTCAGTTAATTATTAAAGCTCAGAGAGATTAAGCAACTTGTCTAATGTTACACAGCAAGTATATGGCAGAGTGGGCACTCACACTCAGGTCTCCAAAACAGGTAATAAGAAGGTTAATGTGTCTACAAAGTTGAAGATCATTAACCAAATTAATGTTATCATTTTTATTGTTTGACTCCAAACCTAGTGGAATGTCCATTACTACTTCTTGCTTGAAAAGAATGTAAGACCAAATCAAGCACTCAAAAGATTTCAAATTACAAGTGCTACAGTAGGACAGAACTTCAGTAATCACAGTGAATTATGCATAACCTGAAAATAAATGAAAATGTTCTCCACTCATTAGTCCTTCCATCCTCTATGTGTCATTTGCCTTCTCAGTTGATGCAGCAGAAATTAGCTTCATCACATACATCTGACATCAGACTTTATAAAGACGAAGCTCACAGCACCGTTTTACAACAAAATACATGGTTTACATTTAAAAAAAAAAACAAGAGCTATAAATGAAGAAAGGATGAATGAGTGACAGCTAAATAGCCAAGCCACCCTTCCACTGATGATAAGACAAGAAAGAATTCCCCTAACAAGCAGCAGGAAATGGTTCAGTGAGATAGTGGGAAGTTACCTACATACTGGGAAGCACTAGAATGATTCACCAGAGGCCATTACTGATAATTTAGAGAAATAAATGAAAAAGACGGTCTTGGCCGACCGATTGGAATATAGTTCACTCAACCTGCCATCTTATGGATTACTCCAATTTTAGGACAATTTTTACCAAATAAACAACTAAACCATTTGATGGTCTGTGAGGAAACAAAAAACACCATTCAAAAAAGCAAACCAAATATTAAAAAGCAGAAAAACAGATTCATAACAGATTATTAAATATAAACTACTCACTTCTGACAATGGGGCCATGAAAGAATACCTTCCTTTCCTTTCCAAAATCGGCCCTTGATCCCCTTACTGGGGCAAGAACCTTTGCCTAGATTTACCATGGAGCTACTACACTGTAACCAATGTTATATCTTACAAAAGCAAAGGAGAGAAAAGAGATAAAGTTTAAAGGATAAAAAGTAAATGGGATAAAATTCCTCCTCAAATATGGTATGTTTACAATCTGCCCTAGGTAAAATTGGGGACTTCATAGTTTGTCCTGGGCATCTTTCCTACTTGCCTGGTAGGATAACAACTTAAACATTTAGGTTTTAAGAGACCTCAAATCTAGTATCTCCACTTCCTTGCCCTAATCAAACCCTGTTCTCTCGAAGAACCACTTATCAGTCACATATGCCAAATTTAAAGTGCTTAGAATAGAAAGCCCTACTCATAGTAAATGCTATACTTGTTGGTTATTCTTGCTACTTTTATTGTCACTTGAATTTACACTTTAAGACTCCTAATTTGGATTAAAAGGCTTTGTCCCTATTAATAATAATCTGAAATATCACTGAGCAGATGTAGAGAAATATTTTGGGAAATTCCTGAAATAAGACTTGGTAGGCAAACACCTACTCATCCCCTCTAGTATGCCTTTTCCACTGAGTAATGACTGCATGCCCAGGAAGCAATTATCAAACTTCTCTGAACACCAAAGGAAGATACACCTACATGGTCAGCTGTGAAGAATTTTATATGGCGCATATGTGCTCAAACATCTATTGGATGGACCTACATGTACATGGTAATTAAATCAATACTGGAGCACCATGAGGGAGGGTAATAAATAGATATGCTTTAAACAGGAGAAACGTATGAAAACTGAAACCACTAAATGGTGCTAATTCCACTCAATTGACCTGATCCTCAGGCCACCTACCCCTCTTTATTACTTCTGTTGTTGATTTGAAGCTTTCTTCCTCTGTAATTATTTAGCTCCGTTCACAAAAAATGGACATCTAAATACCAAGACAGTCTCCTTAATGAAAAGAGAGAGTAAAGTATATAAATGCTAAGAGTTAAGGAAGATGAAGGAAAAGAGTTGACACTATAAAGCCCCAAATGTACAGAATGCTTATTTGTCTGGTAATTTCTTAAGTGTTTCAAAACTCTTAAAGAATAAAAGAACAAGGTCAAAGAGGCATATGCCATACAGATTCAGAAAACTTGCCAAGAAACAAAATCATGTTTTTCCACCTCCCCACCTCCCCACCTCCCCAGTGACTTGTCACTGTGGCTCTCCTGCCTTTGCTGAGACCACACCCTGTCTCCTAAAACAAACTGCTTGAACTCTGCTCCACCCCTACTTGTATTTGGCAAGGGGGTCGGGCGGTGGGGGGGGAGCCTTCAGATGAACAACTATCCAGTACAAATCAGTTTGGAACCCATCAATCACTAGTCTTATTTAGGGAGAATTTTTACTGGATAGAACGTCAGTCTCAGAATACAGGTTCCCTTTTAGCCCTTCCTTAAACAGGAAGGATTCCAAGCCCCAACCACGATAAAGAAATTGAGTTTTCTATATACTTTTATCCATTTCCTAACTCTTTGCTCTTCTCCCTGTATGAGCCTGCAAAAGCTTACAGTCAAAATTCACATCTAAAATAAAGAGGACTGCAAGAGAAGCTCAAGTAATCCCACTCCTTAAATATCACTAGGACATCTGAGATATTGTTTAGATTGTGGACTCTTACTTTGACATGCCAGCATAGGTAGATGGACAGGCAAGCACATCAGATGTCAGTTTGGCAGCTGATAAAAGTCAGTGGTGCTATAATACTAAGCACAGAGCCACTAGATTAGTCTGTGAGAGAAGGGGATGCCTCTTCCTTCCCTTCAATAGTGGGTTAAACCCAGCTGGCACCCTCTAGAACGACGGGTAAGTCCCATCTTTATTTCTGCTACAGTTTGGGGTTTTGTTTTTGTTTTTTGTCCAAATCAGAGGAACGTGTGCAAAATTGATCTTCACATAAAAACTCTGAAAATTACAACATCATGTTATTATGTCAAGATATGAGAAGAAAGTAACTTACTTGTTCCACTGAAAACTGGAAGGCATTATAGAAAGGGTACAAGGAAATATGGTTGTATGTCAATATTTTTAAATCATCATTTTTCCTTGAAAAGGCACACTTGATCTGATTATAATTGTGGTGATGTCCTAGAGCTTCAAAATACCCTCAAGGAGTTTTTATACAAGTCTATGCTATATTAGAGACTGAAAGAAAAAAAGTTAAGACTTTTTAAATAGGAAACTGCATAGTATTTTATTTATAAAATCTCTGTAAATTGTGCTCACTTCAGCAGCACA